GGGCAGCTGCCGCACATTGCGCATGCGGAGAGAAGCTGCTGTTCCTCCCTCTGGGTCTGAGCAGATTTTAGTAATTTGCACATTTTTACTAGAACATCACCAATAAAATGAATCAAAACTCCTAAACAGACACACTGCTACGTTTGGAGCCATATAAGCTTACGCAAGTTTTTAGGCCACACTAAGACAAAATTAGGAATATTTGTAAATGGGGAGGGATCTCAATAATTGTGGGAGAAAGATGAAGAAGGTAAGACCGTGGGGGATGAAGAAAAAAAACATTTATTTCTACACATGTAGACAATAAAGACCCACAGGGCCCTTTTCTTTGTAGTTTCTCTCGCTCAGGTTCATAACTTCTGACCATTAAAACCAGTAACTTTGTGGGCCGCCCCTTAGAATCTGTGAGACAGGCTTGCCACAAAAGCGGGCTTGTTCCGTTCTGTATTTATATTTTCTACCTTAAACTTGGTAAGCTAGACAAGTTCGAGAAAAACACTACACGAAGCATGCGCCAAAACAGCTTTTGCCATGTATGACAACCTGGGAGGCCCTCTGGGTCAAATGAGTTATCCTTTCCAAGTCGACGGCTCCTCAGGCCCACGAACAGAATTTCAGCAGAAATGTTGTCAAGGAACACTGAAACCAGAGAAATGTGCTCCCTCGAGATTACCATTTAATTTGGAGCATCAATGGTCAAGAATTGCAATAATGTGGATCCTTGCAATTTCTTAATTCTTAATATCTGTTATCACCCTTAGGGCTCAATAAAGAAAACAGAGGTATCATTCCTTATAACCTGTGATGTGTGAAGCTTGTGAATATGTTTTAATTGTACAATTCTAATGCCCAAAATGAGTCATTTCATTAACTCAAACCGTCAGCAATCTACTGCCATTACTGCTGCAGATCTCAGCAAAAGTGTTTCTTCTCCATATATTGCCTTGCTAAGAAGAAACTGAATTGCCCTTTCTTTTTAATATTACCAAGAAAGTGGGTAAACTCTTCAAAGAACTAAATCAAATTGATTTCCTCTTTAATGCAAATATATTCATAGGAGAGCAATTCAGAACACATTATTTGAATAATAACATCAAAACACAACCTTATTAAAATTTCATTTAATGTAAGTAGCATAAAATTTTTGTTTGTAATTCACTATGAAAATGCAGTCTGATAATGACACCAGAACTGCAACATTAAATGTAAGATCACATTCATGTTGTGAGGCAAGCATGCTGCCATCTTCTAATTATGAGTAATGACTTCCTGTGCCACATTAGACGCGAGTATATCAATCTTCAGGCCAGAAATTGTCAATCATTTGAATGTCTTCCTCGAAGTTCATGTGTCGGGAACTTAATCTCCAATGTAAAAATGTTGAAAAGTGGGAATTACAAGAGGTGATGCAATCATAAGGCTCTGCCAATGTGAGTGGATTAATGACATCTCTGGAGTGAGTGACATAAGTCCGTTACATGAGTGAATTTCTCTCTTCCAAGTGGCCTCTGTTGGCACGTGATCCCTTCTTCCACTTATAACACTATCAGAGGCCCTCACCAGAAGTAGTTTCTTAACCTTAGACTTCTGGCCTCCGTATCAATAAGCCACATAAAATTCTATTGTTTCTAAACTGCTCAGTCTGTGTTATTCTTTTATAGAAACACAAAAACAGGTCAAGACAGAGGCCTACTCAGAAAATATACTGTCATAGAATTCATTTATTTTTTATCTGCTTCAATTCTCTTGCCAATTAAAATGTGTACTTAAGTTCAAAGAAGCCTCCTGTGATCTAAATTCTTCAAAAGTTCCCTCCAGAAGGATTGTACCTTGAGTAAAATATTTTCAGCAACCAAGAGATAGGAGAGAAATAAAAAATAAGAAAAAGCTGTTGTCGACAATTAAGCTGTTATTTTCAGTATTTTTTTTTTTGCCTTATTAATGTATTAAACTACTAAGCAGCCAGCCCCCTGTTGGGGTTATCCAGTCATGTGGAAATGAGCAGTTCTTTCAGTACCTACTCAGATAGCAGATTTCCATTAATCAAAGTAGATTTTAAAAATTAGTTTTAAGTCTCAAAACCCCTCTCCTTATGCTGTAGAGAAGATGCTGGTGTGAAAATACGGACGTTAAATGATAGTATGAACATGAAGTTTAAACACTGCATAGGAAAGGCATGCAAACCCACATTCCACCTCAGACTGACTCTGGGAGCCTTGCATGTTTGGATAGCTATTGTATTATAACAACAAATATAAATAACAGCTAATGACTCAACAAATGTGAGTCTGGATTATACACTATTCCATGTGACTTTTCGGTATTATTTCATGTAATCCTCATGGCATACGCACGGTGCATTTATTTTATTTTTCCTCTCATGGGTGGAGAAATACACAGAACACAGACAGGATATCCTAGAAAAAGTAAGGTCTTTCAATCTTAGAGATTTATTTGACATTGGGAAAGCTGCTGACACACTGAGGCAAATGAGAAGCACCTGGCCAGCTAGAGGGGGATGTGGGTTAGCCGGTAGGTGCCTGTCCCTCCTCCTGTTTGCCTTTGCTCCACCCTGCACTCCGTTGGACGGGGACAGTTTGCTTCAGCATCTTCCCTGGCTGTCAAAACATCCTTCTCCACTACAACAAGAGGGCAGCCAGGGAGGCAGTGTGGTGCCCTTCCCAATTTGCACACTTCAGGGATACTGTTGTATTTTCCAGAACAGAGAGGGCACCCTGGAGCGGCTGAGATCAGGAAGGGAAGGATCTGGGCACCTTATTTGTATTCCCAACTTCATAGCAAGCCTTCCAGGAGATTTCTTGCGTTTAGCCCTGCCCCTCACCGACACACACCTGCAGCTACTATATAAGCAGCACTTCCCAGGCACTTCTTGGGTTTTGGCTAGGAGGCCTCCGTCCAGTTTATTGGCCATCCCCTGTGCTGCAGTACAGACCCTATTGAAATAAATGCTCACTTTGGTGCTCTAGTAAACCTGCTTGGGACTTATTTCTTGAGTAATGTGGGCTCCAGAAGTCCTGTAAATTTGGAGAGAGTTGTCATTTCCAAAGGGGAAAAAATACACACAGAGCTGTTAACACTGCAGAGCTCCAGAGACAGTAGCCAATGAGGACCAGCCACAGAGACCATCACCTGGTAAAACTGATCTATGGTGGAGGCAGTAGCAACAATGGCCAGCAGCTGGCTATGTCAACTGTTAGCATCCAGCATTACCTGGTGACAGCAGGACTGCTAACAGGGCTGCACTTTGCTGGTTCATGATTTCCATCTCAGTGGAGTAAAAGGACTCTAGGCTGACTGGCAACAACATCACATTTCAATTTCCCAGTCAATAAAATGAAAGTACTAAAACTAGCTTTGAGAATTTTAAGTGAGATAGACTTGCCAAGTATCTGGAGATGTAGCATAGCACAGGGTTTGGCAGGGTACTTGATAGCATTATTTTTTTGTACTAGGTTACTGGGCCTTGAACACTTCACACTTTTCCACCCCACCTACCCTCTATTTTTGAGTCAGGGTCTCACTACGTCACTAAGTTGCCCAGGCTGGGCTCATACTTGCAGTCTTCTTGCTTCACCCTCCTAGAGTGCTGGGATAACAGGCCTGTGCCACTTCACCTCATTAACAATTTGCTTCTTTCTAAGGGATCTGTATCAAGGAAAATATTTGCGGACAAAAAAAACATTGTATGTGGTGTAGGAAGGCAAAACATTACTCTGTAAGGGTCCTAGTTGGGCCCAATAATTAAATTCACAGATTAACAGGAGAAAAGCACACAAATGTAATAAAAGTTCTACATGGAATTGGAGCGCTCATAAGGAAGACTCAAAGAAGTGGAAAAACCTACATATTCTTTTATGTGAACAGAGAGGTAACTGTCCAAAAGAAACTTAGTAAGTGGGTGGGTGGGGGCTAAATGAAGGTAATTAATTTAACAAGTTTGTGCAGAATTTTCTGGGCTATCATTCCTCCTGGTATAATGTTTCTTTTCTCCTGGTACAGGGAAGGCATGCTGCACATGGGAATTTTTATTTCCTGCTTTCAGGGAGAAAGGAGGAGACCAAAATGCCCTTCTTACATCTGCTATTTCTCAAGTGCCTTTAGCTCAAAGTAATCCTATGCCAAGCTGGCATATTTTGGGTAGCATATTCTGCTACTCTTCAATAGAAAGATTTTTCACTGCAGTGAAACACATGTACATATTTTTAAAAATCAGGAAAAGACCTGGAAATATATGTGTCAAGGTGCTATTAAAGTTGCTTGCTTATAAAAATTAAAAATTCAATTTTTATTTCTTTGCTGGAAAAATAAATGCAAACTGTATCCTCAGTGAATTTCTACCTTATGGTGACAATACCACAGCACTCGGGCTCCTCAAATGTTCAGTAAATTCAGTGTGATTGGAATACGGCATTTGTGAATTTCTGTTCAAGCAATGAAGCGAGAGGCAAGTGGCTTAAAAAGAAAAGCTCTTTTTCAAATACTTTATGTTAATGACCTTCTTGCTTTTATTATCAGACCCAAAAGGAAAAAAAATAAAATTCTTTGAGACAAAATCTAAGCTAGCTAAGATCTTGAGCAAGAAAGTGCCTACTACCAATTGCTCTCTAAATGTCTCTAAGTAATTAAATGCTTTATTTCATCTCCTTGGTAGCAAATGCCTGCCAAGAAACTCTAATCATCTTCATTATCTACTAGATTGTCCTCTTCAATCCCTGGCATTTCTTACAGAACCACA